CCCCATCTACCACCAACCAACCACAACTGGTGCCCCGCCTCCCAAACATGGCACCAGTGAAAGTAGATGTCGCCCTCCAGCTGCTATCACCTCCCAGGCCTCGACCTGCTCCCCACTCAGAAGGGGGGGGAGGGGAAGGGAGGGGAGGGTACGAAGTATGTAATAATGCTCTTAATTAATTTTGACTTTATGAGGGTGAATAACGAGCGAGTATGCAATGCTCGCGGGCGCGCTGATCGACGTGCCCAAGATTTTTTTTTTTTTTTTTTTTTTTACTTCCCGTTGCCTAAGAGAACGTTGAAGGCACGCAGTTACGAAGACATAATTCGCATGCCGACGTAAGCAATTCATTAAAGCATTGCTGATATAAAAGATTTCACAATCACAGTATATGAGAAATGTAAAAAACAAGGAAAAGGTGTAAGAGAAAAGTGGGCATCTTTATAGCTGTCTGGGATTCCAAGCTCTGCGTTAGTTCTTACGCATATGGTAAACTATCTGCAAACATAACTATCATTTTTGACTGCGATTTCATTATGCATTCAACAATTATCTATCATCGTCAATAAAGCTGATTACGGATATGAAAACCTTCAAATAATATTTCTACTCTAAAGTATAATCTTCCTAGGCAGAAATGTTGACAATATATCTGGTCAGTAAAATAAACCTATGTATCATACAATCATTATGAGTATCATTATTACATTGAATATACCTCTAAATCCGATAGCTTGCCTGGTATGCTAAGGTTTTGGAAAATTAATGCCCCTTTATCCCCACTTCTATGTAAAGTAGTTATATGTTATCATTGGCTTTCATTTTGCTGATTTTAGTGCCTCTTCACATGTCTAGCCTTTTTCGTCCATATCATTCCTAATACAGTCCATCGCTGATACATCTCTGAGCACATTCAATTATCTGCACAATTTATACAGTAATCTAGCAACAAGCTACTTGCAATCCACATTCCACATAAACATTCCAGCTCTGACACATTCAGGCATTTGAACATGTCTGTATATATTCACATACGTATATATTATGCGTGCGCACATGGATACGCACACAGATGAAATACGAAAATAAATATTATGCAAACGCACGCACAGTTGTACACGCTTATTTTCTGCCCACACACACTCAGAGAAGCACAACAGAATATATACTGTATGTGCACACATTCAAAGACAGACACAGCCACACAGACACACACACACACATTCGAAGACAGGCGCACACACACACACACACACACACACACACACACACACACACACACACACACACACACACACACACACACACACACACACACACACACACACGCACACACACACACACACACACACACACACACACACACACACACAAAGAAATCCACAGATCACAATGAATACATCCACCCTTTGACGAGCAGGCGAAACAAGAGACGAACCCTGTCGAAAGAGTAGATAATGATGAGGTAGTTTGGCTTATTAAAAGGGCATATTTAACCTGCTTGTGTGTTTTATGGGACAACTTTATTATCCACTGCCAAGAAGGTTATCAATCTCCCGGGAGAATGATGCAATTCTGACCGCGACCCACTTATGCTATGAAATTATGGACGAGGTGGATCGGTTGCAATAGACAGTAGCTATTACCGCTGCCCGGACGAGTCAGGGGCTGAAAGTTATTCAATGAAGAGTTTGATGGATTAAAGGTAATTGGTTGAAATCGAGTGCTGATTCCTGTAAGTTTCGATCTTATATGGCTTGGGTGAATGCTAATGGATGGATGTTTGTGCGTATTTTTGCTCTCTTTCCCTCCGAGTGATACAAGTAAGAATGATGATGTAACACTAATAAGCATAATCATCAGTAAAAGGCGAAATATTATGAATTCTGGCATCTGCTTCAAGAAATCTATTTGTTTATTTAGGGAAAAGGATTTCGGTCTGATGTTTTCAACATGGAGAGAGTGACACATTTAACTTGACTTTCCTTGTCGCATCTAAATAATCGCTTATTTCATATTCAAGTAAGCTTTCATCCCATGAATTCACTAATGGTGCCACATGCACACGCACAAACATACATAAATGCTTGCTGATGTAACTGTAATAACTTAGAGAAACATTCTTTTTATAGAAAGAACCTGGTTATGCTACTTTTGCTTGTCCTACTAAAAGAAGTTCATTGTATATATACTCGCAATTACAAACCACATACAAGTATGTGTGTATATATATATATACATATACATACACACATATACAATATGTATATAATATATATATATATATATATATATATATATATATATATATATATATATAATGTATATGTATACATATATACATATATATATATATATATATATATATATATATATATATATATATATACATACATATATATATATATACACACACACGCGCACGCACGCACGCACGCACGCACACACACACACACACACACACACACACACACACACACACACACACACACACACACACACACACACACACACACACGCACACACACATACATACATGTATATATATATATATATATATATACACACATATACATATATGTGTTTATATATGTACATATAGATAGATAGATATAACATATATATACATATATACACATGTATACATACATACATACATATAAATGTTCATACATAAATACATATACATACATTTATCCATAGATACATACAAACATATATATACATACATACATATATGCATTGATTAGGAAGGGCATCCAATCAGGCATCAGTGATACTGCCATATAACCTCTCAATAGTGAATTGAGAGAGGCCTATGTCCTGCAGTGGAATGAATGGCTGTTAACCCATTCACGCCGGGTGTCACGTATATGTGACGGGCCCACTGTGAGTTTACTTGTTTAATTACACATAGATGGCTGCACTTGTACATGTACTACCTGTCGCGCCTGTTTACCCTTTTCTTTAATTTACGAAACTATTATACGTTATCTTATTTTGCTCTTACTAACATTATAGTAATTATAATGTTTATAATAAAAATAACCATCGATATTCATTGTACTAGTAAAAATACATTTTCCCGCCAAATGAAATCAGGTAAGGCAGAGCCATCTAGTGTAGAGAAATTTCACAAAAAGTATAAAAAATGAGCACGGCATTTTCCCCCATTTTTTGTTCATTTTTACCCAGCGCGAATGGGTTAAAAAAAAAACATACATATATGTATATATGTATATGTATACATACATATACATATTCATATGCATATGTATACATACATATACATATTTATATGCATATGTATACATACATATATATATATATATATATGCATGTGTATACATATATATATATATATATATATATATATATATATATATATATATATATATATATATATATATATATATATATATATATATATATATAACAATCCTCCCTGACCTGGCCTCGAACCTAGGTCACTCCGGGTATGAGACCGGAGGGCCAGTACTAAACCAACCATGCCACACGACCCACTAAAAGGAGTGTGCAACTAGGATCCAACTAGCTTCGAGGCCAGGTCAGGGAGGATTGTTAGATATCTATATCAATGCGGTATTGCATTATTCCATCTTTCATATACATATATATATATATATATATATATGCAAATGTATACATACATATACATATATACATGCGTATATATATGTATATATAGTGTTTCCATAACCATTTTTGTATATGTGTATATACATTGTATATGTATATATATGTGTATGCACATATATATATATATATATATATATAATCTATATAAATAATATATATATATATATATATATATATATATATATATATATATATATATATATATATATATATATATATATGTATATGCATATATATACATATACATACATACATGTGTGTGTGTGTGTAGTTGTATCCATAACTATTTTTGCAAATTCTCTATTTTTTCCAATCAATCCACTCTGTTTCATCTGAGAGGGGGAGAGAGAGAGAGAGAGAGAGATGATGATGTGTGAGATATTGCAAGTCCTCATTACTATTTTTAATTTAGTATTCCTACATCCCATACTCATTTGTACAATACATTTTGACAAGAAAGTGTTAAATATTTTTTTTTTCTGAAGTACTTTTTTCTTCTAAAGTCTGTAGCCTCACTTGATCATGGTGATACAATAATCTATCATCACTGGGAAAATGTATTGTTCACTGTAGTGTTGTTTTGCAAAAGGTCTCCATACACAGTGCCCACAAGTGCTTAGCCACAAAGGTGTCAATTAGTAGACCTTGTGACCTCAAATGATTTCACTGTTCTCTTGAGTTTATGGGATTTTTTTTTCTAATGCTATCACAACTGATAAGGTTATCATTAAAGACAATATAATTATCATAGTGCTTTTAACATTACTAATGGCAATATAAGATACCTGAAAATATTTCCAAAAATCAAGGAATTGGGTAACCAGGTGATGTGGGTAGTACTCATAATTGGCTCATTGGTAAATTAGTACTTGTGGAGCCATATATGTATAAAGACAACTAAGAGTGAGAATGGCACGTATGTATGTGCCATCCCCAGCAACATCAGGTTAATAAACAACATAGATATCAGTGCTTAAAAAAGAAAATGTAAGAAAGCAGATGAGTAGATTCAAATTTCATATACATTTTAATCACTCAAGGAAATACCTTGAAATTAATATGTACTTAAAAGAACCCTTATGTGCTTGTATTTCCATGTGCTGTCTCCCTAATTACATATGCAATTATATATATTCAATAAAAACTTACTGTCCAAGCTACCGAATATTGATAAACATATTATAATATAAAAGTATCAATAATATGAACTGTAGAATTCTTTGTATTTTCTGAATAATGATATCATTGACAGTTAAAAAAATAATTATCTATCAATGAACATACATTTTACTTAAAGATAGAAATATACATACACTAGGATATTCTTAGTCAAAAGAAGATTATGGTTGTATCTATAAAATTTATTTAAAAATTATAAAAATAGAGTACATTACACTTAAATTTTTCATTAAAAAATCCTTCAAAACTTCAAAAGCTGTAACTACTTTACCAGTCTTTATCAATATCTACCTAAATTTTTAATACTGTCTTCAGTGATAAAAAAGTAAAACAGACACTATACAATGGCACAATATACTTTCTAAATATAATAACATCTCTACCTGCATATCCTCATTCTTGTGTATAAGCTTCACTTCCAGAACAAAGACACTAAAATGACAATACAACAGCCAGTCTCTGAAGCAGCATTTCACTTCTGCTTCTTTGCAGATGCATTAAAGAACTGTGATATTGTTTTCTGCTTTTTAGCATCAACAGGTTTTTCTTCTTTACCTCGTTTAGGCTTCTTGTCCTGAAATGATGGTAAAAAGCAAAATCAGTTGAGCATATTTTTTTTATCTAATGAAACATTACTATATTCACATATAGATATCAATGTCTATTGAAAAGCATCAGTACCACATTACCAGACAAGCATCAAAATTAACAGGATTGAACAGGTTAAATCTAGTATATAAAATGAAACAATATAAGCTTATAAAATGACCAGTCAAAATACATGAATAAAGAGGTTGAATTGGTAATAATTCTATATATGTAAATATTTAATGGAATATATGTCCCTCTCATTTCAATACAATTTCCCTATTAGAGAATAATGGGTGATTTATGACATAAACAGCATCTATTTTATCAGAGAATCATAGGCAACACTGAGAACCTGAGAACCTTTTTTTTCCATGTACCTTACTAATAAGAAATTACTTTAATCCAATGCCACTGGGAAAATGCTGTGCACATTTTTTATTTTTTTGTGAAATGTCTCTGCACATAGATGGCTCTGCTAGTGCTTTGCCACAAAGGAGTCAATTAATAGACCTTATGACTGGCACTGGGTTGACCACAAGACTGCAAATGCACGTGATAACTATAAACATACCCAGCTAGAAATACTGTGCTAAATTCACAAACTGGGTATATTAGCATGATAGAGAAGGGATGATAACATAGCATCAGGAATTTAACAAACTGAACTTGAACAGAGAAAAATGAGGTCAAGAGAGACAATCCAAACAGTCTTGTATGTGTAAAAGGAACTACAATATCTCTCTTTAACAGCTTGTTATATATATCTGACTATTAAAGAAATACAGTTACATATATAAGAAAAAACAAGGAAGCCAAGCAATTAATCTGTAGTAAATAAAAGCCAATCACAAATCATATGCCCCACCCAGTACCTTCATCTACTAAGAACTAATGTGACCCTCAAAACTGTACAAACCACCAACATTACAGCAAAACCTATTTAGGGCTTCATAACATGGAAATATTGTTTCCAAATCCTCATCAATTACCAATAAACCAATAAAATTTCAAGGCAAACCTCTTACAAGCTTTGATAATATATAAACTTTAAGAGCTATTATACAGAGGCTAAATCAGTTCCCTAACCTTTATAACTCAACCCATTATTTTCTCATTCAAAAACCATATCATAATCACCACACAGAACCTATGCTATCAGCAACTGGACAAATGTGAAAAAGCAGAAGGAAACCATGCAATATTGCTGACTAATATTGAAGACTGAACACTGAAAATAAGGTCTGGAATATTTCTGAATTTTACATAACTCTACCATTACATTAGTTAAGTCAATAAGATGGTAAACAAATTAGAAGAACAAACAGTAGCATAACCAAATACCTTTGCCTTTTGTTCAGATGATTCAACAGCTTTAAGAATCTGCAAAGGACAGGTTTCTGATAAAAAATGTTAGATAAAGTACAAGTCTATTTCAAGGGGAAGTTTTCAAATAGAAGAAGAAGAAGAAGAAGAAGAAGAAGATGAAAAATAATAATAATGATACTGATATCAATATCAATATCAATATTAGTAATATTTATAATATTAATAACAACATTAATAATAATACTTATAATAATAATAATAATAATAATAATAATAATAATAATAATAATAATAATAATAATAATAATAATAATAATAATAATAAAAATAATAATAATAACAACAATAAGAAGAAGAAGAAGTAGAAGAAGGAGAAGCAGAAGCAGAAGCAGAATAATAATAATAATAATAATAATAATAATAATAATAATAATAATAATAATAATAATAATAATAATGATAATGATAATGATAATAATAACAATAATAACAATAATAACAATAATAACAATAATAACAATAATAACAACAATAATGATAATAATAGTAATAATACCGATAATGATGATAATGATAACATTAATATCAATATCAATATCAATAATATGTATAACAATAATAATAACAATAATCATGATGATGATAATAATAATAATAATAATGATAATAATAATAATAATAATAATAATAATAATAATAATAATAATAATAATAATAATAATAATAATAATAATAATAATAATAATAATAATAATGATAATGATAATGATAATGATAATGATAATGATAATGATAACAATAATAACAATAATAACAATAATAACAATAATAACAATAATAACAATAATAACAATAATAACAATAATAACAATAATAACAATAATAACAATAATAACAACAATAATGATAAGTAATAACAGTATAACAGTAATAATACCGATAATGATGATAATGATAACATTAATATCAATATCAATAATATTTATAACAATAATAATAACAATAATCATGATGATGATGATGATGATGATGATGATGATGATGATGATGATGATGATGATGATGATGATGATGATGATGATGATGATGATGATGATGATGATGATGAAAAGGAAAAAAGGAAAAGGAAAAGGAATCAAAAACAAAATTTAAAAAAGAAAAAGGAAAAGAAAGAGAAATAAAAAAGAAAAAGAAAAAGAAAAAGGAAATGAAAAAGAAATAGAAAAACAAAAACAAAAACAAAAACAAACAAAACAAAAACAAAAACAAATAAGATCAAGGTAAACAACAAGAATATTAACCCATTGTCGCCGAGAAAATGAACAGAAAATGGGGGAAATGCAGTACTCATTTTTTATATTTTTGTGAAATATATCTTTCCATAGATGGCTCTGCTAGTCCTGATTTCCCTTTTCCTTGAATTGGCAGGAAAAAACGTAATTTTACTAGTGCTATAGATATAGATGGTGTTATTTTTAACAGCAAATTAGGATAACGTTAAATATTTTCGTAAATCGATGAAAAGGGTGAACGGGCGAGACAGGCAGTACTCGTAATTGGCTCATTGGATACTTAGTACAAGTGCAGCCATCTATGTGTAAAAACAATCTAACAAGTCGACTCACAGTGGGCATGGCATGTACGTACATGCCCCGGCGGCAATGGGTTAACCTGTTGATGCCAGACTGGCAAATGTACATGCCATATACACTGTGGTCTTAGTTCATTGCTACATAAGTGCTTATCAATTTGCCTCCCTGACTTCACCAGATTACCCTATTCCTTGAATTTTCTGGAAAAAAGTTTTTTTCTCTCTAATGTTTTTACTACCATTATTGTTATCATGGTAGTAAATTATTGACATTATTATTATGATGATCTTATGAACAATATAAACTGCAATACAAATTAATCAAGGGAAAGGGTAAACAGAGCTCAGGTTTGACTAGAAATTAACTCCTTGGTGATTAAGCTCTTGTGAACCCATCTATGTGTAAACAAAATGAATAAACTAAAATCACAGTGGATATACATAATATATATAGAGGGCATCATTGGGTAAATTTTATAAAGGCTGGAGGGTAAACATTTCTCACCTTTTTCATGGCTGTTGATGTTGCTGAGGACATGAATTCTTCTCTTGTCATCCACTGGGAACCTTGATATTTTGAAGGGCAAATCACTTCTGGCTTCTTATCATCCAAAGATAGCTTATACACTCTGGAATTATAATCTAAAATAAAAAATATTCCTTTTATTTTGCCTTAAATGCTGTGTATCACAATAAACACTTACTAAACTAGACCCATGGATGGAAAAAGGGTGCATGTCTACAAAATTCTGCCCACACCAGCCTGAAACTGTAGGACCAAACACTTGAACATTTTGGAAGCTATTGTGAGCTTTTATCAGAAACATTTATTACAAACTGCCAGTTAAAAATCAAGAGTCCTCAAATTTCTGGGATAATGTTTTACTTTATCATCTCCAATAAGAGTTGTAAAACATTAACTTATTTCTAAACATATACTTATTTTTTCCCCCAAAAAAATGAGTAAAGGTAAGAACATCATGGAATTTTTACTTACTTGTATGTTTGTCTAATATGGGAAAATATGTGTAAAACATCTGACACAAATATCCTCAAGCAAGCATAAGACTGAGGAACAGCAAAATCCTCCTGCAGCTGTTGAGTAATACTTTCTTCCCACTGGGATTCCTCTTCACTTGTGAGGGCAATGCTGGGAAATTCCCATAAGTTGGCTAATAACCCTGCAAATAATTTTTAAAAGATTTTTTAAATTACCATATTTGCTGATGTATAGACCACCTCTTCCTTTATGACAGCAAATATTGTGTTCATGAGAATCATAAGCAAAAATCTCTAATGTTAAAAATCTGTGAAAAAAGCTTAATCATATTTGACTAAAATATAGTATGTCTTACAGTACCATTACTTCTTAACCTCTACAATCCAGATATCACAACTATCATATCATGAAAAAATTTGGCTTGAGGATGGGCATAAACATGCCACTATGGGAAAATCTGGCTAAGGACCAGGGTGACAGGAATGGCTCATTAAGAGTGCACAAAGCTCTTGGAGGGTGATTAGACTCAGTGGGCAATTGGGAAGGGGCTTTTACATTATTTCCATTGATAAACAAGTGTGGAATGTTTCCTTCAATCTTCCCTGGAAGATTGCCACCTCCAGGGAGAATGTTATTTCCAGTTAGTATTACAG